TGCCGCTCGCCTCCTCGCCGCCGGGGCTGCTCTCCGAGCCGGGCAGTCTCTTGGGGCAGCGGAACCGCAGGTGGGCCACGTAGGGGAACTCGAACTGGAACCGCTGGCTGCACTCCAGGCACGAGTAAGGGGGCGAGCCTGCAGCGAGCAAACACACGCGGAGACACAACAACAACCGATTAGACGCCGCTCCAGGCCTGCAGCACATCGCTCCTTCTCTGGGAAGGGGCCGAGGGCTGGCCCACAGGGAAGTCAGGCCAGTTCTCTGGGGCAAGAGCCGGCTTTTCCTCTGGGTGTGGACAGGGCTTGGCAAAATAGCGCCTCGTCCATCTGTAGGGCCTCTAGACCCGACCAGAACAGTCATAGAATAATCCAGGACCCCTTTTCCCTGTCACTGTTTGCTTTTGAGCCCGTGGAGTATAAACTAACAGATTGTAGCCCCTAATCTAATCTTGCTTTTCCAATATGTTTATAAGCGATGCTCTGGCCTATCTAATTAACATCCATTTAGTCAAGCTAATTTGCCCGGCTCAGTCCCCACTTTGCCTCTCTCGAAAGTTGTTCCCTGCCTGTTCCCCACCTGAATCGTTGTCATTTCAATAGCTTCTTGAACAAAACACCAGCGAAACCAGCCCAGCTCCCCAGCCAGAACCCTGGCCTGGAATGGAAACCCGAAAGCTGCACCTACCGTTCATTTTGCTGTGGGATCTGGCCGTGGTGAGCAACAGTAATTCCGTCAGTTCTTTCCCATACCAAACTAGTAACTCCTCGTCTTTGGCGATCCTGCGAAGGGACCGATAAAACAATTGTCCATTTTTGATGTAAGCTTCTAGATTCTGTTCTTCTTTATCCCTGGCTGACTGGACCAGACGGAGCCACATTAGACCTTCGGAGGAGCCATTTGCTGCTGAGGTGTCCACCTGCACAGAGGAGGGAATGCCAGACATTAGAAGAGAGCAATTATTCCCAGTCCCCTCACTTGCCCAGACTTTTCAGCAAGCTCCGGAAAGGACACCCACTACGGCTTGTGTGGAATCTGGAAAATACATGTGGCTTTTCTGGGCCCCTGAATCATGCCAGCTACCATTTAAACATTGGAATCGATTTGTGCTGGTAAAGAACAATGCGAATGCGGCCTGTTTTTTCCCCCAAACTATATTATAAAGACCCAATGACATGGCCACATCTGCATAAGGTTTGTGCTGGTAAAGAACAATGTGAATGCGGCCTGTTTTCCCCCCTCAAACTTTATTATAAAGACCCAGTGACGTGGCCACATCTGCATAAGGTTTATGTGAAGTGAATAATGTAAATAAACGTTGAAGGATTCAAAATGATCACTTTTCCCTACTCTTTTGCGGGTGGGGGGGCAAGATGTACAGGGAGAGCAAGATTTACTAAAGGGGGGAAGGGTCGGTAAAAACCTTTACAATGTTTTTGAAGTTGAAACATCTGCTTTATCTTAAATACAACCGTAAACAGCAGCTGGGGGAAAGAAACCGTAATCAATTGGGTTTTTTTCCAAAGGTTTTTGATGCATATGTAAATGGCAGGGCATGATGGTTCCAGCCTGCTAGTTTTCATCCCGGGAGTAAGTCCCTTTGAAGTCAACTGGTGACGGGAGATGGAGCAGAATGTGGCCCGCTCTGTATTAATCAATCAGCAAAACCGGCGCAGGAAGCGATTAAAAAGGCATTTTGATTTCCGTCTGGAAGAGGGTTTGCTAAGTAGAAAACGTTAGTAAATTCGGTTCCCACCCGCCAAACGTGCCTCCTTGTACAGTTTGCAACTGCAAAGAACGGGGTAGCGAATTGAGCGCGTTTACACCTGGGAACACTTGGAGCCAAGCAAACCTTACCCGGAATATGTAAGGGACGGTTCTCTTGTCAGTGGATTTAAGCGCTATGAAAGCGATGCTGTCATACAAAGAAGTGTGGCTCAGTACGCAAGGGCCGAAGATAGCATTTTCCGGGATATCGCAGGTGGTGTAAACGCTGGTGAAAATATCCGTCAAACATTGCTGGACTGCCTTGGCGTCTCCATCCCATAGACCCCTTTGAACGCCGGTATCTTCCATCGCTGCAGCCGGAGAGAACAGGGGAAGGAGACGCGTTACATAACTTGTCCGGAAGGCAAGGCGCACGCTTTTTAATACGAAGTCAGAGTGTAAATGTTTTTAGGAGGAAATACGGATTAAGAACGTTATCGTTAATCGGGGTTCCTAATGCCAATGTTTGAAAAGCGGGCAGCATAGGCAAGCCGCGCTCATCTGTGCGATATTTGAAAAATAAATCAGGTGGATGTCAATGAATGGAAGGAGAGGTTCCAGGAAGCTGGGGCGATGATTTATGTATTAGGAGCCAGGAAGACAGAAGCGGCTCTGTGCATCGGGAAATCTGCATATTGATCCTCTACAGCTAAAGCAACTTCGAGGAGTTGCACAAAAGAAACGCAGCTCGGGAGCTTCTGTCCGAGCTGAATTCTCTAGAGCTGATGTGCTGGGGTTTTTTTTTTCTCTCGTCTTCTTCTAAAGCGAGGGCCAATGCTATACTGCAGGCTGTGAGAGAAGAGCATGGCGAATGGATTTCAAGTGGACTGTCAATGTCACTGATTTCATGTCAGCTAACCTTTAGCTCTCGTCTACAAGAGGGAACGTATGTCTGCTCATTATCATAATCCAGCACTTTCCCTCCGAGACTTTAATTAAAAGCAGCAAGCAGAGGTAATTATTTTTACCTCGACACGCTTATTTATGGATGAGGGTGAATCCCAGTTACCTTGTTATACACGGAGATAGATTCAGCCAAATGTGCCTTGTGAAGTGTGCAGGTACTATGCAAGCAGAACAGGCTCTGGCTGTGAATACAATTTGTGTAGCGAGTTGTGAATTTTGACTTTCCAATGGGTGACATTCTTTCAGTAAAACCCGACTGGTCTC